TTGATAATTTTAAAGGGTTTTTTATACGTGAAAATGTTTGATTGCCCCTTTTTGTTTTTCTAGTTTTAATTTCATTGCATCGAATCTTGAAACTGCTCTAAGCCATTCTCTGTAAAGAAACAAAATCACTTTCTGAACAGAAGTCTCTGGTATCATGCCAATGTTAGGAATATTACAATCAGCCTCGAAGTTTGAAAAATAAATGTTTTTCATATTTCGTTGTCAAAAAACTCAACAATCATGTCTTCTCCACCTAAATCATACTAAATCAAACATCTATACTTCGCCAATTCATTAGCTGTACTGGTCATAGCTTTTGCGATCATAGTAATGTTCGTGTCCGTCCGTCTGTCTGTCTAAACAATTTTTCTAAATGCAACTCCTCTTGCAGTTTTCGTCTGATTTCAAAATAACTTTGAATACGAGTAGACTACACTAAGATACATAATTCTGTTTATCGGTATTTGATTTCGATACACGGTATTTCAATTGTTATTAAAAATAAAAAATATCTTTGAAATAAAATGCTACTCCTAATACACAGATTCATAATTTTGTAGATCGGTTTTTGATTTCGATGATTTAGCCCGTGCTTACTTGAAGACTAATGTCTCACTACCGGAATTCAAAATTACTGCCCCTTATGCAACTATTTCGCTAGGTGGCGCCGCGCAGCGTAGTTCCCAACACGTTTCGTTTTCAAATCTAAATAAACAACGTGGTTTGGATGATTGAGTTTGTTGCATCTAATGAATATTAATTTATTTTAAACTGTACGTGAAGTATCATTTGTCGTACATGAAAAGTTGTTTATATATGTTACAGCTGAAGATCGGCAACATTGCCTATTGTTAAGTCGAAAAGAATTAAAAATCCTTTCACTTTGAAAAGGGCACAAGTAAATATAATGAAGTAATTGTGAAGTATAAATTACATGTAATCCGATGAATCGTATGCTATTTCGTTACAAATTTCTTGCCATTTTAAGTGATACTCGTACTTAAAATACAAGACCAACTCTTTGATTTTATAGAATGACTGACTCTGATCGTTTTGACTCAGAAGAGGAAGATAGCTGTCCTGCTACTCTAAACTTTGATGAACTTTTGAAAAGAAAGAAAAAAGAATTACAGTTAATGGTTACCAAAAAGAAACATGAAAATTTCAGGATGTACATTGTAAGTCTGTTCTGGTACATAAAATATTGAGAAGAATAACTTTGATACCAGTGAAAAGTCTCGGAGTCTGAAGATTTGAGTGATGTAGTCTCATACACTGTGCGAGATTTTGACATTATCTCAGACTGGTAATAGTGTAGTCTACTTGTTTGCAAAGTGTTATTGAAATCAGACCAAAACTGTAGGAGTAGCATTTTGAAAAATGTTTTACAGATGGACGGCGGACAAATTCCTATCGCTTATTAAGCTCTTCTGGTCTCTGACCAGTAGAGTTAACAAAAGAAAATGAATTATGGGCCATTAAATTGTGTAAAGATTGGGCGGAAAATAGAAACCTTTAAGTATTAACCCACTTGGAAGGCAGTTCCATACCAGACGATCCAAGAGATTTATCGCATGAGATGCTGCAGTTTTGGCTTTTAAAATTTATTGGTGAAATATGAAGCAAACATGGAGCCCCATACTCCCCCCCCCCCCCCAAATTCACTAACTGAAATTGCTTCAGCAATACAGAGGTATTTAAGAAATAAATGTGAAAACGTAGACATTTTTTTTAGGAGGATAACCCTGTATTTGCAGGTTTTCGAAAGGCTTTTACATGTAGATTCTAGAATGAAAGAATTAACAGCAAACGGCATAGGGGTAAATAAAAAAGGAAGCGATCCTATAAGTTGAAGAGAATTTTCGGGATACTGGTGTTTCCCTCTTTGGATACAGGAAGGGCTCGCAAATGTTGTGTTATATTACAACGGAAAAGCGTGTGGATTTAGAGGCGCGGAAGGCATAATAACTTTGATGTGGAACAGTATGAGATTAAACGAAGCTGGCAATTGGAAACCGGTCCTTTGGAGACTATACATGTATAAACTGAGTCGTAGATGGAGTTAACACGAGGATATTTTCATATTTCTTGCACAAACCTAGACTTTCGAAATGTAGAACCCATGGGATATTTCCGAAGTTTTCCTTTCCAGCATTTAAAAATTATTTCAAAGTTCAGAAAACTCACAAGGACACGAGGGTTAAAAGTACCTGGGAGTCTTTTTAATTACACGTCCTGATTTATCCAATATGTTCTGACATTTATAACTGCTTTAACAAGTACATCTACCTGCCATTAGGAATATTTTTTTCTCTGTTTATCCTGTTAAGTAGGTTTGTTCTATCCAATCAGATAAAATGACATACTCTATATTACAATGAAGGTCAATAAGATACAAATCAAATACTGCGATATCGCCACGTGCCTGTGGTGTTGATTGAAAATAAAGGACAAAACACTGGTTCAATTCAAAGGCTTTAATTGTTTGCTGACCCTTTATCATGCAAATGAAAACATGATTTCGAGTGGCAGTGTACTTTATTAATTTATTTTATTTAAGCCTTTTCAATGACAATTCCATATCTTGTCGACTCTGTTGGAATCTGTGTGATTTGACCACGTGGTCAGCGTATGATCAGTGTTTCGTAATTTAATTAAAAATTAATCATTACGAAATGTATAATTTCATAAATTGAAGACATGTCTCAAGTCAATAACACTGACCAAAAACCAATATTTCTATTGACTACTAACATAAAATATTTTATCTTTTTATACTGTTTTAATACTCAAGTCGGTGCCTAGTTCAATGCATAATTTTTGCAAATACGTTTTAACAAAAATTTAATAATAACCTTGCAATGAGTAGAAAAAATACCACTAAAACCACTGATATTTATAGATTACAACAGAAAAAAGAACGAGGGCGCTTTTGATAGGCATTCGGCAGGAATCTGAGCGTAATTGAAAAGTGAAAAATTTATCGACATGTCACATGAAATTTTAACAATTTTTTTATTTATTGCGTTCCTGTGCAACAGGAAAGGAAAATATTTTCTCGAAATTCAGCTTTGATTTGCTAAAAAATAACTTGAAAATTGGCCAGATCAGACATTTGGTACAAAATGGTACATTTTGAAACACGTTTTTCTAAAATTTTTCTATCTTTGGGTCTTTTCTCCATATTTTGAAACGTTATTTGTGTGTATTTTAATTCAAAGAAAGGAATAAACATTTTTAAAAAATGGAGAGAAGACCCAGAGACCACGAAAAATGAACTTTTCCCAAAAAAATCCAAATGTTTGAATGTGGTGCTTCTTTGTCCTTTTTTTAAATCATTTGTATATGTGTAGCGGTGATAGCTCAGTAAGTAAGGCTACCGAGAAGTTTTTGGTTCTAGCCTAGCATGGGGCGTTATTTTTTTCATGCAAACAACCCTTTATTTTGTCAGTTTCGTTTTATGTACTGATGTATTAAAATTTTGAATTAGATAAATTTTGGTTCAGTGTGGCTTTCGAGCGAAATTAATTCCAATCTTCTTTTCTATAATGTAAACGTACACTTATCATGCATCAATGCATTAAATATTTTAGGTGTTTATTTTTAGCTCTACTGGTCAGAGACCAGAAGAGCTTATGCGATAGTAATGCCTCCGTCGTCCGTCCGTCCGTCTGTCTGTCTGTCTGTAAACAATTTTTCAAAATGCTACTCCTCCTACAGTTTTGGTCTGATTTCAATATAACTTGGCACACAAATAGACTACACTAAGATACATAATTCTATATATCGTTTTTTGATTTTGATGAACGGTGTTGCCGTGGTTACTAAAAATAGAAATTTCTGTGAAATTCTTTCAAAATGCTACTTCTCCTACAGTTTTAGTCTGATTTCAATATAACTTGGCACACAAGTAGATACACTAAGATACACAATTCTGTGTATCGGTTTTTGATTTCGATGAACGGTGTTGCCGTGGTTACTAAAAATAAAAATTTCTGTGAAATTCTTTCAAAATGCTACTCCTTCTACAGTTTTAGTCTGATTTCAATATAACTTGGCACACAAGTAGACTACAATAAGATACATAATTCTGTGTATCAGTTTTTGATTTCGATGAACGGTGTTCCGTGGTTACTAAATATAGAAATTTCTGTGAAATTCTTTCAAAATGCTACTCCTTCTACAGTTTTAGTCTGATTTCAATATAACTTGGCACACAAGTAGACTACACTAAGATACATAATTCTGTGTATCGGTTTTTGATTTCGATGAACGGTGTTGCCGTGATTACTAAAAATAGAAATTTCTGTGAAATTCTTTCAAAATGCTACTCCTTCTACAGTTTTAGTCTGATTTCAATATAACTTGGCACACAAGTAGACTACAATAAGATACATAATTCTGTTTATTGGTTTTTGATTTCGATGAACGGTGTTGCCGTGGTTACTAAAAATAGAAATTTCTGTGAAATTCTTTCAAAATGCTACTCCAAATACAATTTTAGTCTGATTATAATATAAATGTGGCATGCAAGTAGACTGCACTAAGAACATAAAGAGACTTAATCAAGGATCATTATTCTATTAATTGCTGTTGAAAAGTTTCAATTTCCAACTGCTTAAGTACTTTTCTCTTCCTTGCTATAAGTACAAACCAGTAGAGCTTCAGTCTCGACAGAGACTTCTGGTTTGTTAAACATTACTATGTTATAGTACCCCCTGGGAAAAACGGACATAATTTAAATGATACAATCCCACAAGGTCTTTCAAACTAAATGAAAAAAAAAACTATGGACGTGTTTGTACAATCTGACCAGCTATGTTCAGCCAACCAAATCACGGACATTTAAACCATAAATGTTTCGTACAAATGATTCCTGCAGATCACACGCCAAATGCACCCATCTTCTTACATTACCTTTATAATATTCGCTTTTACGAATGGGCTTTAAATTGTGGCCATTCTAAATTTACCAACATTTTATAAGAATTATGCCCCGTGCATTATTATCACCATTGAGTACCCCGGAAGAAATAAATGAGGAAGTAAAGTTGGCCATTATAAATGAATGTAGTGCAGATTTATCATTCACTTAAACCAAAAATCAGCAGTGAATGGTTTTGGATTGTATGGTAAGTAAAATTGTATTTCATTTAAATACTAATAAATATGTTTATTAACTACATGTATATACTCATAAAACTCATATAATCATTTTATGATGAAGTGTTTTCAATTAGATTTCTATTAGTAAAAGTGTACATGTAACTGTATTAATGAAAATCGATTAAAAGATTTTAACATCGACACATTCTGAATGTAGTCGGCCTGCGTTTAATAAGAACATGAACATATCTGTAATTGTTAGGACTGTAGTTCATAAGCCAGAGACATGCGAGATTTTTTTTTATAATTTAGTAATGGCCACATTAAAGATCTTTATTCTGGTCCTGGTCGTGTCTCTGACTGACGGAACCTATGGTAAAGCTCCTGGTTTGAAATCAAGAATTACATCAAAAGGACTCAATTATGGTAATTTATTCATGTTCTTATTTTAGCTGCAAATAAGTAAATTCCAGTTTATCTGTAATCACATAATGTTTGCACAGGTATTTAACAAAAATCATTGGTACTTATTTGAATTTTTTTTCAATCACATTATGTGCAGGTACTTCTCTTGAAATCAATTAAAGAACTACGGTTACATGACATTGTGTGCATACGTGGTATACATATATATTTAAAATGTCAATTTCGTTTGAGGATAATTGATGACAAAAAATCTACCGTGAACAAATTAGCTATGGTACTTTTTTATTTGTTATCACATAATTCGAGTAAATGCTAAGTTAAAAAGATTATCTTTAAAATTGACATATACTTCAAAAATAGTTCAATACTAGACTAATCATTAAAAAATATAAAACTATTAATTTGATACCAATATGCGAGATTGTATATTGTTTAACGTCCCTCTCGAGAATTTTTCACCCATGGAGACGCCACAACTTGCTGGTGGAGAGCTACAAATTTTGTCCTATTTCCAATATTATATGCGAGAAAATTGTGTTTTTAAACCCAGACCAATAACCTAAAAATGATAGAAGGGGCAAGGGAAACAGTTATTTTTTTTTAAACTGAATTTATGTAAAAATCGTCAACACCTGATATATTAAATAAATATATTTCACAAGAATGATTTTTGAATAAATAAAGATGATATTATTCATATTTGATACTTTTAATTTTACATTTTCAGCGGTTAACGTTGCTTTGGATGCATTAACCAAAGATTTAACCAGTAAGCAGATTCCAGACCAGCATGGAAAATCGGGGCATGTGTCTTATGATGTGACAAAGTCAGTCAACATTTTATTCATCATACTATAAACATTATATTTAAATCTTCCTCATTTTTACCTTCCTTCATTTTTGTTTTTGTTTTATTGACCAATGTGTGTCCGTGCGTCTTAAGCCCACCTGAGTCAGGTAACCTTTTGCTATCTGGTCCGTCGTCGTACGCTTTCACATTTTCGACTTCTGAAAAAGCACTGGACCAATTTCAAAGTATCCTTGGGGAATGGTGATCAAATTTGTTCAAATGTAGGGCGAAGCCTTTTTCCGGGAGAAAATAGTTAAGAATTAGTGTAAAATTAATGACATCTTTTAAAAATCTTATTATCAAGAACCACTGGGCCAGGAAAGATGAACCAATGGGCCAGGAAAGATGAAATTCAAGTGGAAAAATCCTCAAAATGGACCATCATAGCTTTACATAGGAACACAATTTAAACAAATCTTCCAGAAACACTTAAGTCAAAGATCAAAGTTTTACATAGGAATACCAGGGACCTATACAGTTAGTAGATACATTTGTAGGTCCCTGGGAATACATAGGAAAAATCTTTTAAATTTTTCTTCTCCGGAACCACTGGGTCAAGAAAGACAAAACTTGAGTGCAAACATCCTCATGTAGTGGTCATTCAAGTACCCCCTGGAATAGGGCGAGACCACAAAGAAAATAAAATTTATATTGGAATACACTGGGCCAAGAAAGATGAAACTTATGTGGAAACATCTTTAGATAGTGTATTTTAAAGTTTATTTAAATAATGATCCCCGAGGGCATTTTTGGGCCACAATGAACAATTAAAGTTCAACATTATATGTAAGAAAAATCTTGAAAAAAATATTTTCTCAAAAGCAGCATATCAGTGATTGCTTCTATTTACATAGAAGCATCCTCAGATAGTATAGATTCAAGTTTGTTCAAATCACGACTCTATGGATAGAGGGGGGCCAAAACAGACGATCAAAGATTTAAACATGAATACATATGAAAAAAATCTTGAACATTTTTTTTCAAGAATAGCAAACGTCATGATTTGTCTTATTTATACGGAAGAGTCTTCAGGTAATGTTAATTCATATTTGTTCAAATCTTGACCTCCTTGGGTAGGGAGGAGGCACAACAGGTGATCAGAGTTTTAGTTTGAAATACATAATTTAAATTAAAATTCAAATGGTTTTCAAAAGGTTTACTTAGTCAAAACATAACGATTTACCATTTATAGAAAAATATACGGTTATGAAAAAATGCGATTACGACTGATGTACCGATTAATCGTTGTCATACCAATTACATTTAAAAGTTTGACAAATTGTCATTTACAGTAACTTTGCATTAAGGTATTCGATGTATAACGACCATATTTTGTAACTTATAAATGAATGGTCCGAAATGATTAATCATGGTAGCATTTTGAAGGTGTTATGAAATAAACATACTCCACCAAAGGGATTTACAAAATTTTAATCATTGTCCGATTTATTACACCTTAAAATTTACATTGACGTCTTATGGGCACCGCATGTTTTATTAAGATATTGTAAAAAGTAATGTGAATTTCACACAAATCTCTTGCTGAATATATGCATAAACTCTCTTTTTATAAAATTTGAAATAAAATTTACCAAAAAAAATTTCAGGTGCAAAATGATCAGCTTCTTATTTGTTATCAGTCTTGTGAATTTGGTTCATTTAACTTTCATTGTTATGTAGCAATGTATTTTTAACTAGTTTAAAACGATTCAAAATATGTAGTTCAAAATCTCTTCGTTGTACATTGAATACCTTACATTAACCTTGGTTGTTACAATATTGTTAAGTCAGATAATACGTTTGGCAATCATATGACGTAAAAACAATGCATAAAATCATGCACTAAATACTTGATTATCGTAGGATGAGAATCACAAAGTTTACCAAGCCTCAGAGTACTATTTCAATGATCCCAAATTCTGGAATTTCTTGGAGAACAACTGGAATTGGTATTGGTCTTCATGGCGATTTCCATTACAAATACAAGCAGGGAATGTAAGATCAAAATATATTTCAGGAATTTCGTGTCTGCTAAGAAATCGAATTTGTATTATCATGCTAGAAAACCAAAGTTCCGTTTTCTATGGTAGAATTAAAATTTCTGATCATGGGAGTTTCGACTTAAACGCCGGTGGAATATCTCTCCAGATCAGGTTGATTATAGGTAAGCTAGAAGCAATTATTTTATTTACAACAAATATTCTGGAAGAATGTAAAATAACAAAAATGGTGCATTACTCCCACAAATAAAATTACTATTAAAAAATCACTCTTTAACAAACATTAGCCACTTAACGTGTAAAATGTCTAGTAATATAATTACGCACTTTCTATAATATCAAAGGAATGGATTCATCTGGCCGACCTACCATTAGTTCCTCTTCATGTAGCTGTTCTGTACAATCCACGAGCATTAAGTTTCACGGCGGGAGAGCATGGATATATAATTTGTTTCGTGGAAAGGTTGCTAAGACTCTGAAAAGTTCTATAGAAGGTGGAAATGGATTGGTAAGCAATCAAAATTTCAGTACAGTTCATTTGTATATCTTTTTAGGTCACCTGAGTAAACTCAGGTGACCTATTGCTATCTGTTTTCGTCCGTCGTCGTTCGTCGTGCGTTAACATTTAACCATTTTCAGCTTCTCTGAAACCGCTGAACCAATTTCAACCAATTTTGGCATATAGCATCTATGGGTAAAGGAGAACAAAAATAGTGAATTTCGTGGTCCCTGCCCCCCTGGGGCCTGGGGGGTGGGGCAAAAACCACTAAAATTAGTGCAATCTTTAAAAATCTTCTTCTTTACTCCCGGACATCAAGCAGTCAAACTGTTGGTATGATTGTAATCAGCATTGAGTCCTCTACCAAAATTGTGAAATTCATGGCCCCTGGGTCAGGGGTTCTGGTGTTAGGATGGGGCTCTATTGATTATATAATGAAAATGCATTATTTCTTTGAAAATCTTCTTCTCTGCTCCTGGGTATTAAATAAACTAATTAAGTTCATAGTTATGATGAGCAAGAGTGCCTCTACCAAAATTGTGAATTTTATGGCCCCAGGGTCAGGGGTTATGGTGTTAGGATGGGGCTCTATTGATTATATAGTGAAAATGCATTATTTCTTTGACAATCTTCTCTGTTCCTGAGTATTAAATAAACTAATTTAGTACATAATTATGATGAGCAAGAGTGTCTCTACATAAATTGTGAATTTTATTGCCCCAGGGTCAGGGGTTCTGGTGTTAGGGTGGGGCTCTATTGATTATATAGTGAAAATGCATTATTTCTTTGAAAATCTTCTTCTCTGTTCCTGAGTATTAAATAAACTAATTAAGTACATAATTATGATGAGCAAGAGTGTCTCTACATAAATTGTGAATTTTTTGGCCCCAGGGTCAGGGGTTATGGTGTGAGGGCGAGGCTCTATTGATTATATAGTGAAAATGCATTAAATCTTTGAAAATCTTTTCTGCTCCTAGGTATTAAATAAACTAATTAAGTACATAGTTATGATGAGCAAGAGTGCTTCTACCAAAATTGTGAATTTTTTGGCCCCAGGGTCAGGGGTTATGGTGTTAGGGCGGGGCTCTATTGATTATATAGTGAAAATGCATTAAATCTTTGAAAATCTTCTTCTCTGCTTCTGAGTATTAAATAAACTAATTAAGGACATAGTTATGATGAGCAAGAGTGTCTCTACATAAATTGTGAATTTTATTGCCCCAGGGTCAGGGGTTATGGTGTTAGGGCGGGGCTCTATTGATTATATAGTGAAAATGCATTACATCTATGAAAATCTTTTTCTCTACTTCTGGGTAATAAGCAGATGAACTATTTACATAATTATGATGGGCTCTTCTTCCAGAATTGTGAATTTCAAGGCCCCTGGGTCTGGGATACCAAAATTTTTTTTTTGGGGGGGGGGGGCTCTACTTATATACTGAAAATGAATTGTTTGAAATATGCTCCTTGGTATTAATCAAACATTTTTGATAAGCGAGTGTGCCTTTTCAACCAGAAGTCTCTGTCGAGACTGAAGCTCTACTGGTTTGAACTTATAACAAAGGAAGAGAAAGTGCTTAAGCAGCTGGGATTTGAAACTTTATAAACAGCATTAAATAGAATAATGATCGTTGATAAAGTCTCTTTATGTTCTTAGTGTAGTCTACTTGTGTGCCAAGTTATACTGAAATCAGACCGAAACTAGGAGGAGTAGCATTTTGAAACAATTTTACAGACATTTCTATTTTTAGTAACCACTGAACACCGTTCATCAAAATTAAAATTCAATACACAGAATTATGTATCTTAGTGTATTCTACTTGTGTGCCAAGTAATACTGAAATCAGACAAAACTGTAGGAGGAGTAGCATTTTGAAACAATTTTACAGATATTTCTATTTTTAGTAACCACGACAAACACATTCATCGAAATCAAAAACCGATAAACAGAATTATGTATCTTAGTGTATTCTACTTGTTTGCCAAGTTATACTGAAATCAGACCAAAACTGTAGGAGGAGTAGCATTTTGAAAGAATTTCACAGAAATTTCTATTTTTAGTAACCACGGCAACACCCTTCGTCCAAATCAAAAACCGATGCACAGAATTATGTATCTTAGTGTAGTCTACTTGTGTGCCAAGTTATATTGAAATCAGACCAAAACTGTAGGAGGAGTAGCATTTTGAAACAATTTTACAGAAATTTCTATTTTTAGTAACCACGGCAACACCGTTCATCCAAATCAAAAACCGATACACAGAATTATGTAACTTAGTGTATTCTACTTTTGTGCCAAATTATACTGAAATCAGACCAAAACTGTAGGAGGAGTAGCATTTTGAAAGAATTTCACAGAAATTTCTATTTTTAGTAACCACGGCAACACTGTTCATCGAAATCAAAAACCGATACACAGAATTATGTATCTTAGTGTATTCTACTAGTTTGCCGACTTATACTGAAATCAGATCAAAACTGTAGGAGGAGTAGCATTTTGAAAGAATTTCACAGAAATTTCTATTTTTAGTAACCACGGCAACACCGTTCATCCAAATCAAAAACCGATACACAGAATTATGTATCTTAGTGTAGTCTACTTGTGTGCCAAGTAATATTGAAATCAGACCAAAATTGTAGGAGGAGTAGCATTTTGAAAGAATTTCACAGAAATTTCTATTTATAGTAACCACGGCAACACCGTTCATCGAAATCAAAAACCGATACACAGAATTATGTATCTTAGTGTAGTCTACTTGTGTGCCAAGTTATATTGAAATTAGACCAAAACTGTAGGAGGAGTAGCATTTTGAAAAATTGTTTACAGACAGACGGACAGACAGACAGACGGACGGACGCCGGACGCATTACTATCGCATAAGCTCTTCTGGTCTCTGACCAGTAGAGCTAAAAATTGTGCAATGTGTAGACCTAGGGTCAGGGGTTCATGTGTGGTAGGAGCACTCCTGATTATCGCTGAATATTACTGATTAGTTGACATACATTTTTGTTCCCCTACCCTGCTTATGGGTATTAAGTAAACAAACCAAACAATTGTTAAGTGTATAGTTATGATTAGCATTGATGCCTCTTTCAAAACCGTGAATGCAATAGCATCTAGCTTAAAACATGAACCAAATTCAATCATTTGAAAGTTGTTGCATGATGCTCAGGTGACCTATAAGGCCCGTGGGTCTCTTGTTCTCCTTTTTTATTCACTGGGTTTGTTCAGAGGTAATGTGGAGAGGCCATATCACTTCAAATCAATTATTAAACGAAGACAGTGTGTCATATTGAGTTACTTTTGATCATGGCAGCTCAGTCGGTAGAACACTTGCTCCGTTATCGGAAGGTCGTGAGTTCGAATCTCGGCTGTGACTGACCTTAGTCGATAAAATAAAAATGGATGGCAACTGTTCCTTCACCAGGCGCTCGGCACTTTGAAGTTAAATTTGTGTGTCCTTCGTATGAGACCTTAAAAAACCGAGGTCCCGTATCTAAGTAGGTGCTGGCACGATAGAGATCTCTCGCTGCTCAATGGCCCTGAGTGCCGAGTAAAGGTCAAAATTTGAAGCCCTTCGTCGGTATATGGTGATGTCGTCTCTACATGAGTGAAAAACTCGAATGGTACCTAACACAACATACAATTTATCTACTTTAGGTTAACGTACTTAGAAAACATAAATACATTACGTTTATACTGATTATACACCCTTTATCATCTTTAAATATATTATTCATTAAGAGCTTAGTCCATGTTTGGTCCCCTTACTTTGAGATCCTTTCAAAATTTGATGTTTCAAAGCCCTTTATTAATTTTTATCTTTTAAAATATTCAGTTCAAGCCAAAAGTAGGACCCAGCTACTAATAAAGTTCGTTAACTCCCGGCCCCGTGATATCCTAAAGATCGATATATTAACCAGAAGTCTCTGTCGAGACTGAAGCTCTACTGGTTTGTACTTATAATAAAGAAAGAGAAAAGTAGCAGTTGGGATATAAAACTTTACAAAAGCAATAAATAGAATAATGACAAATACCGATACACAGAATTATGTATCTTAGTGTAGTCTACTTGTGTGCCAAGTTATATTGAAATCAGACCAAAACTGTAGGAGGAGTAGCATTTTAAATGTATTTCAAAGAAATTTCTTTTTTAAGTAACAACAGCAACACCGTTCATTGAAACAAAAACCTATATACAGAATTATGTATCTTAGTGTAGTCTACTTGTGTGCCAAGTTACTGTATATTGGAATCAGACCAAAACTGTAGGAAGAGTAGCATTTTGAATGTTTTTCACAGAAATTTCTACTTTTAGTAACAACAGCAACACCGTTCTTTGAAATCAAAAACCAAGACACAGAATTATGTATCTTAGTGTAGTCTACTTGTGTCCCAAGTTATATTGAAATCAAACCAAAACTGTAGGAAGAGTAGCATTTTGAATGATTTTCACAAAAAAATCTATTTTTAGAAACAACGGCAACACCGTTCATCGAAATTAAAAACCGATATACAAAATTATGTATCTTTTTGTAGTCTACTTGTGTGCTAAGTTATATTGAAATCAGATTAAAACTGTAGGAGGAGTAGCATTTTGAATGATTTTCACAAATTTTTCTATTTTTAGTAACAACGGCAACACCGTTCATCGAAATCAAAAAGCGATATACAGAATAATGTATCTTAGTGTAGTCTACTTGTGTGCCAAGTTATATTGAAATCTGACCAAAACTGTAGGAGGAGTAGCATTTTGAATGATTTTCACAAAAAATTCTATTTTTAGTAACAACGGCAACACCGTTCATCGAAATCAAAAACCAATATACAGAATTATGTATCTTAGTGTAGTCTACTTGTGTGCCAAGTTATATTGAAATCTGACCAAAACTGTAGGAGGAGTAGCATTTTGAATGATTTCACAAAAAATTATATTTTTAGTAACAACGGCAACACTGTTCATCGAAATCAAAAAGCGATACACCGAATTATGTATCTTAGTGTAGTCTACTTGTGTGCCAAGTTATATTGAAATCAGACCAAAACTGTAGGAGGAGTAGCATTTTGAAAAATTGTTTACAGACGGACAGACAGACAGACGGACGGACGACGGACGCATTACTATCGCATAAGCTCTTCTGGCCTCTGACCAGTAGAGCTAAAAACCATGAATTCCAACGGTAGACCCTGTAACCCTGTTTCTTAGACAAAGTCCATTGACCTCAAACTTGAACTGACAAAATATGTCTCAGAGTTGAAATGAAGATCTATAGACAAGGAAAATTTTGAGACAAACTTAAGAAAAATGACTAAGGGGATCTTGAGATACATGAGTGGGTAATATTTCCAGAAAACATATGCACCCCGCGCAAATTTCCATTATCTCCTTTAACCTTTTCGTTTCAAAGAACTAATAAAGTTCACCTTTATGGATCTATACATTCTTCTTTTTTCAGCTCTGTAAGCAGTTAACAAAATTGGTGAACGTCGACGGTGCAAAGAAAATGGCCAAACTTCCAGGTTAGTTTAAGTTTATAACTCGCAATTTAGTCGCTCTGTTATTGAAGATTGATTACATAAATTTACAAAAACACTAAAGATACCTGAAATAACAAAAAGTAAAATAAAGCTTGGTAACAAAGATAGTTTCCCTAAACACCTTTCATGGCGGTATGTCACTTAACTTTATTTCTAATACAAAGAATAGAAAATAAAATATTACGTGTTGCATGTATACTTTTCAGTTATTAAAATAAGATAAGATTTGGGAATTAAAATTTCGATTTTCAGTGACCTTGATATTTGAGAAATGATGATTGGTTGATTGATTGTATGTTGTCTAACGTCCCTCTTGAGAATTTTTTACTCATGGAGACGCCACCACTTGCCGGTAGCGAGTTGCAAATTTGTTCCTATACTCGAGCTCAGCACTCGGAGCCATCGAGCAGTGAGAGATCTTTTTCGTGCAACTACCTGCTGCGATGGGGGACCACGGATTATACAGTCTCAACCAATTAAAGGACTGGTCTCCACGTCCCACAGAGGGATTCGAACCCGCGACGTAAGGATCGACTCCTTACTTCGCGACTCTAGACCAGATGCTTTAACCACTGCGCTACGCGGGGGACTTGAGAAATAATACCCTTTTTCACACTATATATCCACTGAAATGATTTGATCTACGAAAAAAAAATCCTTATAGGAAATTAAAGTTTCATAGTTCACCAATTTCATAACAGAGGTTCAAAGTCAAAGGTGCAAGTAGAGTTAGATGTGATAAACATTGGAAAATCTATTACGTGTATAAGGGTACTGTGTACATTTAAATCATAAAATGTTTTTCAAAAACGATAAATTCATGATCTATTCATAGCCTGGCAGCCAAAATTAATAGGTACCTATATTTTCCCAATAGGGAAGTCATATTAAATGATAATGATAGGAATGAGAAAAGGATAAGGAAATGCAATGTTACAGCCACTGGATAAAGAAGTCACCATCCTCAATTTAATAAAATCCTTTTTCAAATTCCATGTTATTTTTTTCTGTAAGGAAATGATTAAATGATACAAAGGCTAAAGTCCCATATTTTTATACCATTTAAAATCTTCGAAGATCACAAGTAAATTTTGTAATTATAGTGATTTTTAGCCGGGCTTATTGCTCAAAGAGCAATTGCTGTCTGTCTGTCTGTAAACAATTTTTTAAAACGCTACTCCTCCTACAATTTTGATTTCAATATTACTTGGCACACAAGTAGACTACACTAAGATACATAGAATAGTCGCCATTTTAAAGCTGCCATGGTAAAAATAGAATTTTCTGTGAAATTCTTTTAAAACGTTACTCTTCAACAGTTTTTCTGATTTAAATATAACTTGGCACTAAAGCAACATAAATAAAAGAAAGTTTTTTTGAAATAAATAAACATTTAGTAATGACTAAAAATTGAAAACTTCCTTCTACAGTTTATATAGCGTAGCACACAAGGATTTCTGATAATCAGTTTTTGTTATGTTGCCATGGTTACTAAAAATAGAAATTTTCTGTTAAATTCCTTCAAAACACTACTCCTTCTACAGAGGATTTAATAGCTTGGCACACAAGGAACCAGACATGAAATGGCCAGTTTTTGTTTACATACGGTGTTGCCATGGTTACTAAAACCAGATTGAAATTTTAAAACGCTTCTCCTTCTACAGTTTTTCTGATTTAAATATAACTTGGCACACGTGGTATTTGGATAGAAAACTCAATGTCAGTGTCTTATAATTTATATTGCTGAAAGTTTTAAAATAATTTTTTGATTTCAATATAATTTTTAATCTGATATTCTTGTTTTATTTATTTGTTAATACAATATAATTCGTGAAATTGATTCATGTAAGAAATTCATTTTACTCTGTAAATGAGCCCGGCTCTCTGTACTTCTGAGTACTTTGATTATATTTGGTTTAATTTCTTTTTCCTCGTATTGAGATGCCAACTGCCAGTGGTGGCCTGCAATACACTTTACCAGTACTCAGCTTTTAACCCTTTGAACAGAAAAGGAAATTCCGTATCAGCAAATATACGGCGAAACGAAATCTCAGTTTTTATCTACTCATGACCTGATACGAACATCTTAAATCTGAGACTCGAAAGCAAACGCTTTGAACATCGCGCCACTTCTTTCCTCCGATTCCAAACGTTCTTGTAACGTTTACCTCTAGTCCCGCTTCCTCCTCACTTTCTTGTGTATCTTTGACCAACCTGTATACTCCCTGACCAAAAATCATGTAAACCAGGTCTACTTCCCGACATTCATTCTCTGACCTCCCTGTCTATTCCCTGATGTCCCTTGAGTAAGTCCCTGTCGATCCTGCTTACGCTCTGTCGTCCCCTGACATTTTCTTTGACCCGGAAAACGTGTTAAATTTTTTTGAATCGGTATTACATTATAATGAAAATAAATACAAGATTTCAGTAAGTAAAGTTTGTTTTAAACATCTTAAGTCATTTTTATACTCATTTATTTAAATTGCATTGTTAATTTAAGTTTGGTAGCATTCAAAGCTTACCTGAGCTGAAAGCTCAATAAAGTGACCTTTTATGTTGTCTGTAAACTTTTCACATTTTCAACTTATTCTCAAGAATAACTAGGCAAATTTTAACCAAAGTTAGTAAAAGGCATCTGTGTTTGAATGGGGGGGTGTGGTTAATTTGTTGAAAGTAGAAGAGGTAATATTCAGTAAAAGACAAAAATGACTGGCGTCATAAATCAAAGTACTCAGAAGTACACAGAGCCGGGCTCATTTACAGAGTAAAATGAATTTCTTACATGAATCATTCGTTTATATCGTATTAACAGATAAATAACAAGAATATCAGATTAAAAATTCTGATGAAAACATTATTTTAAAACTAGCAATATAAATTATAAGACACTTACAGTGAGTTTTCAATCCAAATACCATGGTCCGATTTTGTCAGAATCAAAATTAATGTGGTACTCGGCTGAATGTAAACAAACGGCCAGTCTGGTTCCCTCTCCTGTTTTTCCTCGTTAGTGTAGAGAACTACGATAACACTGATCATCAGAAATCTTTACGCTAATAAACTATGTTCTTTGACTTAAGACTGAAGTTTTCAAAATCATTACTACTAATGTTTATTTATTTAGATAAAACTTCGTTTTATTTATGTTGCTTTATTTAGCGTTTGTATTATCTCAGAAGTGGTTGAGAGTAAGAACTATATTTTTACACGTAACTTTAAAATGGCGACTATGGGGTTGACATCCTGTCTTAAACAGGATGACATAAGCCGGCAATTGCTCTTTGAGCAATAAGCCCGGCTAAAAATCTTCAGAAGACCCACTGGCCCGAAAAAGCTGCAATTTGTATTGAAGCATACTCGGGTAGTTTAGATTTTATTTCCTATCTAGCTTGTAACACGAGCTTTGATTGGTTACAAAGTCGGGTGTAAATATGTGTTGAGCCGGGTGTAAATAAAACGTGACGTCACAATGCATACATTCTCTATGATAAATATCTTATCGATAGTTTGAGATACACTCTGTATGTTTACAAAGCATTTTTATGGATACAAAGGAAATAAATTCGTTATCCAGGTTCAATCAAGGGTGTACGGGGATTTACCCCGGGTTGTATCCCATACAACCTTCGGCCTGCGGCCTCAGGGTGTATGGAATACAACCCGGGGTAAATCCCCGTACACCCTTGATTGAACCTGCGGCCTCAGGGTGTATGGAATACAACCCGGGGTAAGTCCCCGTACACCCTTGTTTGAACCTGGATAACTAATATTATTGTGTTCAAAATACAGTGTATGACCTCCTTGAATAGGGTGGGGTCACACTAGGAATCGATGATTAAGTGAAAAATATAAGGGGGGGGGGGGGTCTTTTTAAATATTTCTCTCAAGGCCCGAAAAGCTTGAGCAAATACTCTTAATTTTTTTCAATAATGTTCCTGGGGTTGTTGTTGGGTCACAGTAAGTGTTTAGAGTTTTACATTGATTTATATTGGGAAAATCCTTTTAAAAATCTGTTTCCTAAATAACTTCTGGGCTAAATAAAAAGCTGAGACTTACCTGGAAGCATTTAGAGGTTGTGAAGACTCTTAATTATACAAATCATGGCTCACAAGGGTATAGTTGGGCCACAACAGGGAATCTAAATTTTACATTGAAATATATAGAATCTCTTTCTTAAAACCCGCCGGGGCCAGAAGCGGTGAAACTTGTATGGAAGTTTCCTGAGGTAGTGATGACACGTAATATTTCAGACATTGACCACTGGAGGTGGGGCCACAATACGTGGGAAGATCTTCATATCAGGGCCAAAATTACCTTAACGAGGGTTGTCCCCCAAAGGACTCTTGCTAATGTCATTATGTAAGAGGGTGAAAGTCTAAAGGAATCTCAATAATAATACACAATAATATTAACTAATTGTTATTTCAATAGATCACAATGCTCACCTTGCTTATCTTTGACCCATTTTTCTTCAGAATATTATTCAAGATTTTGTCCTGTCCTTTAGCTTGTTTAATTAAAAAAGTTTGTGGTCTCAAGGTGCAAGGATATAGCCGAATTGAAAGAAAAGGATCATGAGATTGCGACCATACGCTATCACAGGGACCATGATTTGAAAAATTATTTTCAACATACTCAAAGTCAGACCCACAGGATTTGGGAAGATTTTTTATTGACCATATATTTAAACATGCAGTTTAGAATTTCCTTCACCAAATGATAATTTATGCCGACTAATGTGGAAACTAGGTACAATATATTTAAAATTTGAATACATTACAGTTCAGGTAATCTAACTACGTAACTTTGTGCATTTTACAAATAATATTTAAATTTGTTTCTTCTTCTTTCTATTAATCTTGCTTCAGTGGAAGTAAAATTAGCAAAGAAGTTCCTCTTAGACTACAGCTTCCTCGCTAAACCGTCGTTTCAAACCAACTTCATGGAAACCTTTCACAAGGTATGATTTTTTTTCTCACTTTACAATTATGTATAAATGTTGCACTCCACATTGTCATGGGACTCCAAAGTCCGATTAATTGACACGCCAAAGTCATGGAAAGGAAACATTAAACATATAGTTAAGACGATATTATACTGTATGCGAAATCGTCGTACCTTGTCACACAGTTGCTCTCGGATTGCTCGTTACTCGCACACTAAACAAGCGTGTCGGAGTCGGCTAGCCGAGTATTTCTATAGATGCAGTTGGGGGTGTCAGACCATCGCACTTGAGCGGAGCTAAACGAGCCATCGGACTTCAGAGTGACCATCGGACTTTGGCGTCCTTATCGGAGATCAGTGTAGAGGAAAAGGACTTTGGCAAGATCGTTGGTCTTAAGAGTATATAGAGAATATTACATACTAAAATCCATATCATATGTCATATCAGCCCGAGTGGCCCCATATCAGCCTGAGGGCCACTCGGGCTGATGTGACATATGATATGGATTTTAGTATGTAGTATTCTATTTATCATATATTTAAAATACTTAATATGCGAGTTCACATATGGTTGTTGAAGAATGCTTGTGCTTGTTAGTGACATTTTTCTTTAGAATCTAATAGAGCCAATTTTAGGTAAATGGAAATAAATAAGACCACAAATGTCATTTAAGAATTATCTTATATAAATATTTAAATAAAATCAAGTAAATTAACTTTTAAACTTTATACAAACGTTACTTCCGGTTTGATATGGATTTTCAGCCCGCCGGTCCGATACGTGATATGGCTTTTCGGACCGGTCCGTGATATGGGGTATTGTGACGTCACCCGTATCACACCGTGCAGAATCGGTGTATTTACTACTAAGTATATGATAAAACATAATATATCACATTCGTATGAATTAAATATGAACTTATGCCCCACCTGAATCCGGGGCTTTACACGAATTTTTGTCTTCACTTCATAATGTAAAATATACATTCTTGAATTGAGCAAACAAAAGTATTTGAGAAGATACAGGAGTTTGATTTACTTTTTTCCTGATAATCAATTAATTTTGAACATTCTGTGACATTCTGCACTTCATGTAGCGTTTCAAGTCAAGGTGTCACAAGCAATGTAAGCGTCATATCTTCTATGTTATAAACACTTTGATTTTAAAATTATGATTAGCACCAACTTTGAAAGGGATAGACTCGTGCGAATTTATAAGAAAAAATAATTTGTTAAGAAGAGCTTTTTTGTATACATGCAGGACTTTCAAAAAGCTGTAATTTCACAATGATTAAAATTATTTTTGTAGTTCTTTTTTTCTAGGGAGAAGTAGATTGGCTTCAAGGACCGAAGAACACTCCTATTATTGCGCCAAAACTTCCAACAGGCACTGACACTTCAAGGATGCTTTACATCTGGTTGTCCGATTTTCTGTTCAATACGATGTCCTACAGTGCTTTCTCTCACGATATGCTAAAATACAACGTCACCGATAAAAACGTAGGATACATGTACACATCAAAAGCGTTTTACATTAATTCATCGAAAAATATGCTACTTTAAGATTTTTTATAATGTACTACATGAAGATTTTCCCTATTTTGCAGATTCCGGGAGATGTTTTAAACACAACTTGTAAATTGACGTGTATTGGTAACCTTATTCCACAGGTACATGTATATGTAACTATATTCATAACATTTCGACATCTGTCTTCAACATATTAATCCGTTATTGACATCCATTTATATCAAATATATATACTATATCAAGTGTACTGTATATATAAATTTTATCGACAGATTGGGAAAATGTTTCCTAATTCTAAAGTAATGTTAAATCTGAGAAGTACTGCCATGCCAAATATGACTGCTTCCAATGGAACAACAAAAGTTGAGGCAGTTGGTGATATAAAATTTTATGCAATGACGCCTACAAATAAAGATGTTTACTTCCTGACATTATCTGCCGTAAGTTTATGATTTTTTAAAAACACTTATGTATGCATATGGTTATTAAAATTCTTCTCGTGATTTGTTTATGTAATGATTCAAGCCCATGTACATTTACTACATTGTTTAATTACATCCTTTTGTAGTTGTTTTTATATTTTTTCAAGAGCATTTGATTGATAAGCTAAGTTGAGATTTTAGAGTTTCCTTAGCTTCTACTTAAAATCGAAAGTGCTGGTGATTATTTAATTTTTTTTCTCTGTTTTTAAGAACATGTCAACAACAATATCTGTTACAGTTGAGGATGAAAAGGTTTATGCTAAAGTGATCAAACTTCCGTAAGTTTTCTATATAATCACGTGAATTCATACTTCTGCAAATTTGGATGTAAATACATACTTTAATTATTTCCGATATCATTTAATTTCCTGATGTGATTTTTAAAAATAGCCCAAATATTTCTTCCTTGTAACAAGTCTGAAATATAAGACGAAATGATATTTGAAAAAAAAAATAAATTCAAAAATTACTTTGACTTATAATAATTTTGAATTAAAATAATTTCAGAATCAAGATCAGAGTTAAGGAATCAAAAATTGGACCACTCAGTGTAAGTAGAGTTACTTCGATCATCTTCAAAATGTCAATGCAACGTCAAGTAACACCCTTCCTCCCCCAAAAAGTTTGGTAAAAGTGGATTATTAATTAATGGGCTTGTGCTTACACATAATGTACTCTGCAAATATAAACCCTCCAATAAGATTATACTTTTAAAATACGTCTGTCTTTTACAAAGGCTCAAAGTCACTTTAAACTTAAGTCAAATGTATCTTCTAAAAATAGTAATGTTATCTTAGGAAACTAGATCTTGCAATATTTGGCACTTTCCATAATTTGAAGACACGTCATTGAGTTTAAAAAATTACCTACAATGCAATTGGTTCTTACTGGGTCAAATCTTAGGCCGAAAACAAATGAAAAAGTACTTTTAAGTCCAATTTTGAAAAGGATTTGTGTACAGGAACGCTACTCGATCACAAAGCCCTGATTTGGGAAAGATGGTAATTTATTAGGGATTACTTGTAGGAATATCGCAGTAAAAATGTGCACATGTAAATTACTTTTACAGGACTCTATGTTGAACTTCATTGTACAGAAAATAGTGACTGTATTTGTGGAACCGAAGCTCAATGGTATGATTATTTTTTTTTAATATCATGTTGATTTCAATACTTGATTTATGGCTTAACAAAAAATATCATCATAAAATTATTTCCTGGAAACATTACAGTAAAGTAAGTTTTCTACTTTTTTATAAGTTTTAGTGATTTATATACATGACATATTTTTGTAGGAAAAAAAGTTTGTTTGACAGTAGTTTAGATTTTGTTCTTTACATCAATAACTATTTATTTATGAAATCAACCATATTTTAGATCTTGGAAAAAATGGCTTCCCTCTACCAATTATTGCTTCTGTTAAATTTGTGAACACGCAGCTGAAATTACAACAGGTACGTCGTTGTAAAACATATTCTCCTTATTATGAATTCAAATATCCAATTCTTATTCTGCTCATTGTACTGTTTCAGAATTCTCTACTGATTGCAACAGACCTGAAGTACACTGGTTAGGTCGATGCGATATCATCCTCTGAAAAAATGTCAAGAAAACGTTCACCAAGTTGTTTGTTGCACAATTTAATTCATTTAAAATTTGTATATAAATCAACACATTTCCAATCTGTAGGACAATTAAAATGGCATCCATATTTAGATCATCTAACAAATCTTAAAATTTATAGGCTCATCATAGAATTTTGATATTTTTTTTTCTACGTGTACTATATAGTTTAAAGTTGTGTAACACTGTTTAATTGTGATGCAATAAATCTTCTTAATACATGAATGACAAGAACAAGTATAATTTTTTTTTTGTTCAACATCCCTATGAAGACTTTCAGTCGTATCGAGATGCAACCACTTGCATTTGAAGAGCTGCACATTTTGATCTTTCCACTCAGGCCATTAAGCAGTGAGGGTTCTCTCCCATGCCAACATCTAAAGACTTTACAATTTAGTATTTTACTGAAACATCAGACGTACAATGTACTTTTCTACAGTACTTTGCCAAAGTTGTGTATATCAAAGATGGCACAGTGGTCAGAGCGTCTGCTCGAGTCGCGAAGTAAGGATTGAATTCTTACGATGTAGGTTCAAATCCCACTGTGGGACGTGGAGACCGGTCCATAGGATGAGACCGTAGTGAGTGAAAATTTTTCGAGAGACGTTAAACAACATACAATCAAACAGTCAAAAATTAATTAATAAAAAAAAGAATTTCAGAATTGATCTCAGTTTGAAATTTTTTAACATTAAACAACAGGACCACCCACTCAATACTTATGAGGAAATGGCTTTCTAATATTTCACTCAAGTATTCTCTGTGACAAGACTTATTTCGGTTACCACCACATTAGATATTAACCTTATAATTTGAGTGACTTTTACCAAAAATTTCTATATTTCACATTGGTGTTAAAGTTTCATCAAAGGTCAACGTCAAAAAATTTATTTTTTTTTCTCAATAGCTCCAAAACTGTGTGGTCTATTGAGTTGAAACTCATTGATTAACAAAATAGAAAGTACAACTGTATTACAAATACCGAATAAAAATATTTTTCGAGAAAAATTCTTTTAAAAAATTCAGGGTGTATATTATTTCTAGCCATTACTTCTAATATGAAGAATTCTCAGTGACAAGACTTATTTCAGGTACCACCACATAAGATATTAACCTTGAATAATTATAAATTGTGGACTTTTGCTGCAAAAATTTCTATATTTCTGCATATATTGGTCTTAAAGTTTCATCTAAGTTTTACTTCCAAACTTGCATTTCCTTTCTTTTTTTATCATTTGTCAATGTCAAAAAAAAATTATCTGTTTTTTTTTCAAGCTCATGTGTTCTCAAAAACTGTGTGGTCTATAAACCAAAAATCATTAAATTAACAGATAGATATATATAACTTTATTACAATTATCTGAAAGAAATAGAAATATTTACAAGTCGAGAGAAATGTTTCGTTATAAGAATTCATGTCACCTTTAAAATGTGTTTTAAATTTAAATGGCCAAAAAAGTTTTTTTTTTCATTACGCACACATATGTAGTTGTGGCACTAGTGTCATTATGAAAACTAAATACAAAATTGCAGATGTTATTTTGAAATATGCAATTTTTTTTAATAATTTCTACATAAATTTTTTTTTTAGGGTTTGTTTGCAAGTTAAATATATTCCAAACAATGAATCCTTATTTATTGATAAAATTTTAATTCTATTCATGTAGCAAGTTCATGAACATTGTCAAAAAAAAAATTGGCAATAGATAAATATAAACAATATAAAGAAACCTCTAAGGGATACAGATAATTATTTTGTTTTAGGCCAATAAATTAAAATCATTTAAAAATTTTAACTATTTAGCTTTGTCGACATCTTGCCTATCGCAGTTTTCCAAAGTTTATTTTAAGATGATTAGAAACGGACATTATTGATGTCAGCAGATAAGTCTTCTAGCTAGCCAGCAATATTGTGGATTTCGCTACTCAGGAGAAAAAAAAATGATGTATTGAAGATAAAAGTTTGTCATTCAATTCAGATGTATAATTATGTTTTATGAAGAGCACAGTGTGCATGCAGGCCATATGGAGAAATGGTGTTCATTCTGCTCATTTCCAAAGCGGCCATATTGGAGCTGTAATGGTAATAATGATGATTGGACGATGTCATGTATGCTAAAATAACAATGGAGTCAGTAGTAAACTGCGTACATGTGTACTTTCTACTAACGTGTCCTTTCCCTCGAGATGTTACTATTTTTTCTATTGCGTAGGTTCCCGGTAGAATTCTGGAATGTCGAGATATAATGCGTCCTTCATTCAATTTATTATTCTCAACATATTTTTTAAATTTATCTTTTTTTCTCTATTAACAACTGGCATGATAAAAACAAGAGAGCTCAGTAGGGGAGATAATATTTTCAATCACATGGTAAAGAGCGATTACTAGGAAATTATGAATATTTATTATACATGTGTCACGTGGAATCTATCTCATGAATAAATTGAACACCATTTCTCTATATGCAGAGAACAAAATGGGGGGATGCTACTTATGATTACTTTGGTACTTCATCATTAAAGCTTTTATTGAAATACATGAAAAGAAGCATTCTGTTCTGTGAAGAGATTTCAGAATGAATTCTTTTGACACACTTTGTCGTCCCCTAGATACTAATAACAATCAATATCAGAGATCCTAGCTTTATACTTTTCTTTCCATATGTTGCAATGAAGTATTCCCTTTCAACCTAATAAAAAAACTGGTTTCTTAGGTTCTTTTACGTTCTTGAAATTTATGATACTTTCAAACTTGTCCTCCCAGTGCTTGACAACTTAATTTGGTGGTATGGCGGTTCTTTGATTTCCCACTCGAAATGGCGCGGTTTGAAACTGCCTGTGGGATTGGTTGAAAAAGTGTCCATTCAATTCATGCGATTCGTGCAATATCTTTTATTTAATAATAGTAAGTTGAAAGTTCGAATATTTGTGTAGACAACGAAAGCCGTATGTACGAACTGATGACTTATCATAGTTGTAACTTGTTCACGAAATATTAATTATTGACTTCAATCGAGTTGACTACTTGTATACGAATTAGTGTACAATCCCTCGGAAAACAATTGAAATTTCGCAAAAGATTTTCAAGTTTAAACATGTGAAAAACACTGATGTTGCAATTAAGTTTAAGTTTCCAGGTTCTTTTCATGGTGCGACCGTCGAGACGAGCGCAGCGTAAAATTATATGTATCCAGGTATGTATGTTATTGGACTTTTGAGAGCAATGAATTTTTGCAGTTGACGATTTATTTCGGCATTTAAACATGTATTATATACTGAGGTTCAAAATTGATAACAGATAAGAATACCTTTCTACACTGTAAAAAATGCGCTTAGAAAATAAACACTTCCATTACGTGTTTTGACCTAAACATGTATAAGATTGTGTTTAACGGCTAAACACTTAGGTCTAAACGTGTGTTAGATTGTGTTTAACGGCTAAACACTTAGATCTAAACGTGTGTTATATCTAAATGATGTTAAGATTTAACACATGTTTAGATATAAGTGTTTAGAAATTGAACACTTTTCTGTGAAGTGCAGAGTTATCTTCCCGGAAATGACGCATATATATTCGAATGATAAATAGAGCGGTTATCGAAACAAAGGAAATCCCAATGTTAGCTAAAGAAGATGGATTAAAGGAAGTGAATGCTAATCAAAGTGAAAACCATGAAGAGATTGTGAAATGCATTTAAACTGCAACATTACTGCGATAAAAGGTATGTTAACTATTATTTTTATTTTACATAAATTGACCATGATGGGCTACGTAAATAGACATGCGTTTGCACATGTAGCTGTAGATCAAGATTACCTTCGGTTATATTTTGTACTCCTGAAATCTAGAAAGGAGTACATTATATAGAATATCAATAATATCTATAACAGTTTCAATACTAAATAGTGGTTATATAGACGAGGTTCAATAAAAGTAGCACAATAATAGCTATCAAACATGTAAAAAAAAAAAAAAAAAGGTTCGTACAAATCCAGCCAGTGAAAAGCATATTTTGATAAAATTTGAATTTCTTTCTTACAGGATATGGTCCACATCGAACTTGAAAGCAAAAATACACGTATCAGAGAAACTGTTGCCATCTCCAAGTCCACTATGACATGCCATCGTTCTTACATTTTTCAACACTTCTTACTTTCTAGGGGAAACTGAGTTTTGTGAAGTCTGCTGTTCGTTATAGTTTTGAACAACCTAAAATATTCTCAAATAATGACAGTGGATTACCTACTGACGATCACAGATGAAAACAAATTATGCGTTTGTTGCTCAGTGAAAAATTGCTGGAGGTTAAACTTGATACAGACATGAGAAATAACTGCTTGCCAATCTGGTTAGAATTAAAACCAGCGTGTAAAAATATAATGTATATTTAATTTAAAATTCTTTATAAAAAATCCATGTTTGAATGTTCATTGAATAAAATTTAAAATGCAAACAATTGTTATTTTTTCAGTTTTCTTTGCAGGAAGACAACGAAAACATCCAAGTGTTTAATTTGTAAACATGTATCATAACATGTTTTGTAAAGTGTTTAAAGTCTAAACATGTAAGTGTTTAGGGTCTAAACACTTTCCGTTACACGTAATGAAATTAAATGTGTTTAGAATTTCAACGCATCAAAAAAAGTGTGACAAGAAAGTGCTTAGGAAAGTGTCTATCATCTAAACACATTTTTTACAGTGTAGTGGTCATACGTATGATATTAGGTGCACTAACATGTGATGGTCGGGAATGGAGGGTAGGGTTGGTTGTCGTTTTCTTCAAAAGCAACTTATTTATTTTGTGCTTTGAAATTCCAACCCCTTATTTTTGTTTAACAAAATACTGAGCTATATAGTTAGATCGTGTTAATGAAAAGAAATCTGTGTATCTTTTTCAATGCAATTCAAATTAATATACACATAGGTGGATAAAACATATCTCATCTTTCTCTAGAAAACATAATCAAATTGCCTCAATGCTACAACTTTCAACATACATGATTGTAGAAAATACACGTATTTACCATAAGTATATACATGTAACAAAGGCAATGACAATTACTCTGTTTACTGCAGAATTCGATTTGTTAAAGCTTATT